TGATGACGTTGATGTTGATGATGATGTTCAATTATCCTGTCTTTTTCCACTACAAATAATTTGGAATGCTTGTACGTCAGCGAATCATCAGTAGTTTCCACAGTTTTTGCTCTCGATGCTGATGATTTTGGCGATCATGATGACGTTGGTGATGGTGATGATGATGATGATTGTGATGGTGATTATGTTCATAGAGAATCAATTCCTTAAGATATGTTGTATATGTCCAGGAACAGCGGAGAGCTCACTATTTTACCAGCACTATCAGTCGTTGTATCCCCCGGTTGTCTTAACTCTAGTGATAGTTTCAACATTTTGCCTACTACCGATTCGCCTTGAAATTACGTAAGCTGATCTGCCTGCTTCACATAACTCCAATTTGCCAATATCTCTCACGCGCACGCAGAATGACCTAAAAACGCGTACACTGGAGGAACAATACGAGGAGGTGAAAAAGAGTGCAGCTTCAACTCACGTGATGAAGTACGGTGAAATCGTGAGTCACGAAATGCCACGCAGAGATTCATTTGAGTCTCTTGTGTAAAGTCAAACTGTTATGACAATGAGTGTATTTATCGAGATGATTTTTGTATTTTGTAACCTGAGATAGGTGACGGTCAATGTTGAAAATACTTCAATAGGAACTTCAGATTCCGTAGACGAAGTCCATCAAGGTTGCCAGTCCAGGCATCTGGATATCCGAGCCTAGCCAGTGTCACTGATTACCCAGCAGTGGCTTTGGGTACCTTATGATTCATAACTTTCTGTGATACGGTAAAAAAGGCGAAATTTTATGAATCGTTTACAGGTAACTCAAAGGAGGAGATTTACACGATGACGGGAACTTCAATCTGAAAAGTTGACACTGGTCAATATGTGGCCACGTATGCGGTTATCCGTGATTGAACGATGAGTGCCTTGGACCTGAGCGAACAAACTTAAGTGATAATACTAGTGCTATATACTGATTTTTGTGAGACGGTTTCGGAACCTACGTTTATTGATCAACCGGATTTTTCAACACTAACACGTGAGTACTGAGGTTTAAAATTAGGGTCGCGTGGTAAGCCGCTTCTTCCTTATATGGAACAAGACGTTATCTTGGTTGATAATGAACTGATAGGTGTCTGTTTATTGTTTATTTCAGGCGATGGGAAGACTCCCAGTTGGAAAATTCCAAGGTCATTATGATCTGCTGACGCACCGGAACGATGTGGCGACAGCAGTATGTATTCAGTGCAATATTCGATATTTTGAAATTTCTTTTGGAACAGTTATTTCTTACGCCACTGAATGTTTAAGGAACCCTGTAACCACTCCACCTTGCAATGAGACTGCAATACGTTGGACTGCTTACAAAACGATTTTACACAATCACTTCTGAGTTAGAAACGCTTAGCAAAATCCGGGTCGATATCGACACAGATTGTTGTATAGATTAGATAGACAGATAGATAGACAGATAGATAGACAGATAGGTAGATAGATAGATAGATAGATAGATAGATAGATAGATAGATAGATAGATAGATTGAATGATTGATTGATTGATTGATTGATTGATTGATTGATTGATTGATTGATTGATTGATTGATTGATTGATTGATTGATTGATTGATTGATTGATTGATTGATTGATTGATTGATTGATTGATTGATTGATTGATTGATTGATTGATTGATTGATTGATTGATTGATTGATTGATTGATTGATTGATTGATTGATTGATTGATTGATTGATTGATTGATTGATTGATTGATTGATTGATTGATTGATTGATTGATTGATTGATTGATTGATTGATTGATTGATTGATTGATTGATTGATTGATTATATTGATTGTTTATTTGTGTATGTGCAGTGATTTCGTGTTACGCCCTCCGAGGGAACATCGTGTTTCCCACTGCCCATGAAAAGAGCACCGAAATTATCACCTGCTAAACTCAAGGTGCAACCTAATTCTACAACAGGATTATTGTTTCATCGAGTTTGGCATAAACTGCACATGAGAGTTAAGGCCCCGTTTCAGATATTCATCCAACTCGATGAAAAGTTTGGTGATGTTCTACTTACTGCACACTGATTTACAGGAGCATGAATTTCGTAAGTAATTTGCGTTAACCTGGCTACCGAGTGCTTTTATGTAGTTTCCTCTTAATAGTGAGTAGTCTAGAAAGTCATTTTTTTCAAGCGGCATTGAAAGAGTTCATGTTAACAACAAGTGTTGCTCAATTATTTTCTTGATTCCAGCCGAATGCTGTAGATAGAAAGTCCTCTTGCAAGGCGCATTTGCTTTCAAAGTCTCGACGCTTGATGGAGGCAACAAACGATGAGGAACAGGAAACCACTTGGCGAAAGCTGCGCCGTGCACTTCAAGTTTGGAGTTTCCTTTTATTATCAAGTGGATCTCAATAGAGGAACTGAATGCATGATAAAAGATCGTTTTAGCTAACAGTCTATTTGTGTGTTGGGGAATCGGTATTGGGGATGCACGGGAGCAGGTAAACTTCATCAGCCTAATGTTTTGTCCGCCGTTTCTTGAAGCCTCCCAAAAATCCAACGTGATTCGTTTTAATGTGTGACAAATCTTTTATAGTCTATCTAAAACCTCTACAACTATTCTTCTCGCTTCTTTCAGCTTGGCCACATCGTCAAGGAAATGTACCATGACATCGTCATGGATGTGACAACCCAACATATGCCAACGCTAAAGGGCTTGTCCAAGAAGAATGAGCTCATGTGTTTCAAGGCAGTATTCGATCAATTCCGGACGCACTGCTTCACAATGCAGCAGGCAAGTTGCATCCGTGATGCGTGGAAACATGGGTGTGCAAAAATATGCATAAATTGCTGGCCAATGCATTTACTCACGGCGTCACCTAAGGCGAGACTTACTCTTAGTTACACGTCAAAAAAATGAACCTCCGGGGCAAATGTGGTACTCACATCAGTAGCACCATCGTTCTTTTCCTGAAATTGGAGAACTGTGCTGCAACTTGATGTTAATTAGTTCAACATCTTGTAAGATATTTTCCGTCATAAGCGACAGATGGAAGGCGTAAAGCGTTGTAGATAAATCGGAACTTAAAACAACCCGAAGTGTTATGGGGTAAGCATCTGACTGTACCAAGATTGACAGCAGCTGAATGAAGTTGTCAGACTACATTTCAGTGAAGTTCAATCCAGTTCAGTTGTTCAGCTCGTACAGCAGGCACTGTTGTCTTTTCTTTAGTTTAATTCAGTTCAGTTCAATTTTACATTATTTTGGTTCGGGTTGAACCCATTGAGAACAGAGTACTGACCGGCCTAACACAACTGCCACGAAAATTTGATAGACTGGTGTTGGAAGTGACACAAGACAGTCGTGTATAGGTGTTCCCTCGTTTGTTAAGTGTCCCGGTGTTCAACACTGCTAACGAATATAGTGAAGGTTGATCTGGTCAGCAAATCTGGCGGGAATCCGTAGGATTTTATTCAAAAACGCATAATTTCGAGGAACATTTACCGAACAACTTGATGTCCATCCGACAGAAAGCTGGAAGAATTGGCGCGGTAAAAATATAAAAGGAGAAGCCCAAGATGGTACCCATGATTACCGAACTCGGATCAGTTCCTATGAATACCACTGTCTTACTTTGGGTGTGTATCGTGGTTTCAATCATTTGACAATGAGTTTCAAATATCTCTTGACTTAATCTCTGGTTATTCTGAATAGGGTGGTATATATCCCGCGTTTCGAAAAACGAGACAAGTCCTGTTTTTACAAAACTCGTTCGATTCTACCTGCAAGTATTTTACTTGAAAGGCCACAGATGCCCAGCTATTGCACCGTGGGGCTCACACGGGTTAGACCTTCTGGACTACCGGTACCGCGCACCTCTACAGTGTTTCCGTAGAGAAGTAAATCTGCAAGTAATTTCACTATTATAACTGATCAAGGACATACACGCAAAAACAATTCTTCAGTGACACATCTGTCCGAAAAGCACACCATAACATTTTTGATTCCAAGAATGGTCCAATAATTTTGTTACCCACAAAGCTAATCTGTACAGAGGAAGTCCAATGAAAAACATAGGATTTCTACTGGTTCCTTTGTTTTCTTTCGATTTGATCTAACAATGGATGTTTGTTAACCGAAAAGAACGCAGACACTTCCCGGTACGGATGACTAACTTATATAACTTCGATGGATTATCAACAAACCATGTTGCCTGAATGATTTCAAAATTCCTAAAACAGTCCCGATCAGTTTCTCTTCCTCCAAATTCACGATCGACGGCTGTTGCAACCAGAATCCTATCTTATCATGGAATTTCGTTAGCGTTTCAAATACTTCACTATTGGCACAGCAGTATTAGCTACATAACCTGGACTACATATATGGTGGCTGAGAAGTTTTAGACAGCTCGCGACCAGTTTCGCCTTTCTTGCGGCTCATCAGGTAGGCGCAGTCCCCGATTTTCCGTAAAACTTATGTTCCACTTGGATAAGTGTACTTCAGAGTGTGCTAAACTACTGACCAGCATCTCTTGGTATCTAATATCAAGAGATAATCCATCGGGTTCACGATTCGTTAGGTAATTCAAAAACTCACCCTTTCCAACTGTTTCAATTGTTTTTCGTGGCGTTGTATGCTGGCGTCGAGTTGGTGCTGCAATTCATCTTGGTTGTTTCGTAGCTCATCCATTTGTCGCGTCCATCGATTTCGTTCATTCGAAAGCTTATTGATTTCGCACAAGCTAACCTCGAGTTCCTTGGGAGAAGTAGTGGGATTAATCAGTTACAGGCAGTTCCTACCAGAAGACACAAGTCCGGTCCCCATAGGGGCTCTCTGAACTGCTAACTCACCAGTCGACGGGTGATCATGAAAGCTTAGAAGGAAAAATGGGATATTATAATGATCAGTATTCAACCCGAAGCCGATTCTGGACGATTCCGTTGAAAGCAAAATCCAACATTTCTCCCTCTCGAACTCCAGAAATGAGTTCGGATTGTCTTCATAGATGAAGCTTCCCAATGACCTTCAAGAAATGAGTCC